CCGCGGGATGGACCTGTGGGGGAGGAGAGTGTGGAGGGAGGACGAAATGCTAAGCGGACTGGGGGAAACTCTGCGAGTGGAGGGAGTGAAGGACGAAGAGAGCAGATGTGGTGGAAGGATTGATAGTGGGAATTGACAGAAGGGAGTAGGATGATGGCGGGAGAAGGTGTTCAATAGCTGGATGAGGTTGGACGAACTGGTAGGGCGTGACTGGAGAGAGTGAGGCGGACGGAGAAGTGAGGCGGACCGGAGGAGTGAGCGGACTGGAAGAGAGTGGAGCGACTGGAGAGAGTGACGGACTGGAGATATGAGCCGTAGAATGGCGGCACGGGGTGGAGAGGGGGACCGACTGGAGCAAAGCCTATTTGCTCGCTCGATATAGGAGACTGTAAATGAAATATTGACATACTATATGATTTACACGTTTACAAGGAACCGCATTTACAAGAGTCCAATTTACTATTTAGAACCAGAAATTTTTTCCTCGCTCCTTTATAATAGAGCCTAAAAACCTTCTTGTGGTAAACCGAAAGCGGGGAAAAAATTCAGATAAACCGACAAAGGCAATCAAAATCAAGCCAGAATTTAAAATCGATATTAAAAAAAAAATCCGCCAAACTAATTCCTGTCAGCCTTCAAGTTCCAAATAGGAAACAATTAATTCCAGTTGAATATGCCGAACATGTAAAATCAGCGCTGCCTCTAAGAAAGACGTATCCGAAATAAATATTAGTTCTCGGTGTAAACAACATATTTCTTTAGGAAAACCACAGCCGTGATGGTTGTAGGAGTTACATATACATCTTACTTTTTACATTCTATTATCCCACTATCTAAATGAGAATTATTTCCCGAAATGCCGTCACTTACTTTTGTTTTTAAAGAGTCCAGATGCGTTCGTAGACGCCCATTATTATCTGCACTATAATAGATTTTACTCTTCACTACATATATTACACTACGTCAACTTTTTTTAACAGCCCATTTTCTAACGAAACTGCCACTTTTCTCCGTTTACCCATAATGACCGCGTAAAATAACATAGTAGTTTACTTTTAAAGAAATGCTTTTTTATACTGAATGCATCGTTGCTTACTTTATGGTAATTTTTTACGCTCTGTTTCAGTTGTCAAACGTACTTTTATACGCCATAATTTGGTGTAATTTTGAGACCTGACCATAATATAAGAAGTGTTTTAAAGCAATTAAATTCCCACGCCCCTCGCAACCGCGCATAGGACATTAAAATTAGCCAACCACTAATTGCTATCGATTAGGCATTATCTCAACGAAAAGACGATCTGGCCCATTGCCTCCTGATATACGCCAAAAAAGTTCTATCAAAATCTAATAACATCCCAAATGATTCGCCGATAATATCCTGCTCCTTGGTCTTACAACCCATTTGCACGCTTATATCTAGTATGACCTATATACTTTCCCCAAAATACCACTCCAACCTTCCCTTCTTCGTTCATATCCTCCCAGTCCAATTTATCAGAGCACCCCAGGCAACCCACCAATTCTACTATATCAACTATCATTTTTTCACACATTGGCTCCATTTAGTGCTATCCCCCCAACCAAACATATGTCTAATCTAATTTTAAACACGAACAACCCGAAAAATTTCCATAGTATAGCTCGCATTGGAGTCATAAGTGATGATCGAGATACAACATATTAAATGAAACTTACGTTTGAATCATTTATTTCTTAAATGAATTACTCCTAATCAGAATATTTAAAATTGCACTGATGAATTATTATATCCACTTCAAGTTGTATTTGCTATTAGGCAGGCCTGCCGGCCCAAGATTAATCGACTATGACACGAATGATACTTTGCTGTTGAAAAATAGTCAACAAAAACATTCCTTACATTGTTCTTGCTAGTCCAACTTCTTCGAATCTACGATCCGTTGGAAAAATGGCCAACATGCAAGCAAATACAAATCATTCACACAGTTCAAACATTCAAAATATTCCTAATAAGGATGTAATTATTAAAAATATAAAACGCATAAAAACGAAGATTATGTCAAACACTCCATTACCCGCTAGCTCTTAGTGATCGAACAAAAACGAGTAAATATTGTAAAAAAATAATAGTTTCATTTCAAATGAACTGACATGAATTGTATTTCATACCATTCTCCGAATTGACAAAGTGTTCCGCAAAACGTCTAATCCCCAATACAGTACGTAAGTGCCTACCCCAACACGTTCTTCCATCCGCCGCTGGGCCCCAATATCCCCGTCCGCCGCGCAAGCCAGAACCAGCCGCACTCCACCCCGCCGAGCTTGCAAACCCGCTCGTTCGTATCTTGTTTTCATCGAACCTAATCTTACCTTCGAACAATCCTATTATACTGATGAAAGGCCCCCACCGCTCTTCCGCCTGAAGTGTTTCCCGCTAGCCCAGTTACCCTCCGGTAAAACCTGCTGTTCCAAGGGAACACACGACAGACCCAATGAAAAACAACAACTTCTCCATGTCACCATATTTTTGACCATTGCCGCCATCCACTCGTGCCAACCTCCCTCTACCTACAAACCGGGCCGAATCAAGCCTACCGTACCGCTCAACCTATCTCTTATAGTAAAGATTCAGCGTATTATCGTTAAGTGTATTCTCAGGCCCTCCTCAAAACAGCCCTGTCTCCCTACAAGTTGTCGTAACCGGTTTCATTGCCCCGGAGACACCCCCGGTAGTACTTCCCCAGACCCTTCCACCTTAGCCCGCCCACCGGCCAAAATCCATGACCACCACATCCTACCAGTCCCAACGTGCCCACTCCTCACCCGGGGTCCTCCCCCAAACTCCAGGTACTCCACCCAGAGGGCGCGTACTCTTTCATCTTTGGACAATCCCTGTGCCCCCCCCGATCCCGGACTATGTTCCGACTCTATATGTGCTGTGAGTCCTTACGTGAAGGTGTGCAGTAAGAAAAACTGCTGTAACTTAATCCCAAGAA